TTACACTACTGTTCTGAGTGGATGTAAATACTTCCAACATTACTAACAGTTCTAATAAAGGTGACTAGTTGTTCTTCTTTGACTAGGATAGATATATAGACACATATTCTAGTCAAGGTGGAATAGAGTCAATCTAAAGGATGTCTGAGACAGAACTAGTCTAGAACCCTCTTAAAACAACTCTACTCTGGAACACACATAGACCCAGCCTGTCAGATTTTGTCTGAGAGTTCTCTAAAGTCTTTAGTAAAGAGGAATTTGACCAGCTTCCTAAACACTGTCTCTAAGACTATACAATTGAATTGACTGAGGGTTTCTAACCTAAGGATTACAAGGTCTACTTACTCAACAAAGACAAGTAGGAGGTGCTCAACAAGTTCCTTTAGGAAAATCTTTAGAACAGTTAGATCTGACCCTTAAAGTCCTTTATAGTCTCCTCTTTCTTCTTTGTCAAAAAGAAAGATAGAAAGCTCTACCTAGTCCAGGATTATTATTGTCTTAATGAGAGTACTGTCAAAAACAAGTACCTACTCCTCCTGATTCAGGAGCTCATTAATAAGATGTATACATCTAGAGTTTTCACTAAGTTGGACATTTGATAAGAATACAATAATATTTGGATCTAAGACAGAGATGAGTGGAAGGCTGTGTTCTAAACCAATTGTAGACTGTATAAACTGACTGTAATGTTCTTCAGACTAACTAACTTGTTTACAATGTTCTAGTCATTCATGAATCACATCCTTACAGACCTAATTGACTTAGAACATGTTAGTGTGTATCTGGACAACATTCTGATCTTTACCTAGACAGTCAAGCACTATTACTGACTGATCCAAGTAGCTCTACAACAGTTCTGAGATAATAAACTGTTCCTCTAAGAAGTAAAGTACTCTTTTGTACAAGAGTCAGTAGATTATTTAGGCTTTATAATTAGTAGAGGAGAGGTCTGTATAGATCCAGTAAAGGTAACTGTAGTTTAGAACTGGCTACAACCTCAGAACCTGAAACAGGTCCAAGTGTTCCTTAGGTTTGTAAACTACTACTAACACTTCATTTGAGACTTTAGTACTATTGTCTAGCCTCTTCATAATCTTACTAGCAAAGATGTTCCTTAGTAATAGGATGATTAGTAACAGTCTGTGTTCAAGTCTCTTAAGTAGGCTATTACTAGCAAGCCTGTATTAGTAGTTTTAACAGTTACAGACAAGTTCTGAGTCAAAGCTAACTCTTCCAACTTTATGAATAGAGTAGTACTGTTCTAGTTCATTGACAGAAAGTAGTGTCTGATAGTGTTCTGATTAGAATCCCTCTCTACAACAGAACAGAACTACTCTATCTATGACAAGGAACTCCTTACAATTGTCTGTTCCCTAGAGGAGTAGTATTAATATCTCCTTAGTACTGTACAGAAGTTTGAGATTTAGAGTGATCACCTTAATCTCTAGTACTTCTAGGCACCTTAGAAGCTCAACTATTGTTAAGCCTACTAGATGTTAGAACTGTAGGACTACAACTTTGTACTGACCCACAAACCTAGAACATAAATAACAAAAGCCAATTTACTCTTAAGACAAGTAGGTTATGAAAGGGGGGAGAATGATAACAAAAATCTTGTTCTCCTAGACAATTCCTGTTTTACATCTAAGACAATCTAAGAGATCCAACTTGAATCTGAGGATGTTAACTTTGTCACCTGTATATAGTAAGCTCTGAGACACACACAGGACTAAGTTATAGTAAAGTAGTTAGAGAAGTAGGCTAGGGATTAGGAGGAGGATGAGGATGGACAGGTTTACTAGGAAGACTGACTGTATGTTCTGAAGGATCAGAAGCTGTAGGAGAACATTGTCTAAGCTTATTACAACAATCTGACTACAGGACATTTGGGCTGACACAAAACACAGGAACTCATTACTCAGAACTACTAATAGTTAGGAATGTAGAGGGAAATCCTAAAATATGTAACTAGTTGTAATACATACTAATAGACTAAGGCTTACTAGACAAGGGTTTAGGCTCTCTTACATCTGTATTGGATCCTGGATCACTCTTAGGAAGAAGTCTTGGTGGACCTGATCAGTAAGCTACCTAAGTCTTAGAATTATAATACTATCTGTATAATTGTTGACTGATTCTCTAAGCAAGTCTATACAGTTCCAACCTGAACAGAACTCACTTCTGAAAGTATAGTATATATTTATTAGGATCATGTCTTCTAGTTGTACAGACTCTCTTAGAAGCTCATTCACAATCATGGACTGTAATTTGAGTTGAAATTCATATAGGACTTGTATATACTTCTCAGAATTCAAGGGAACCCTTCTACTATATATTACCTGTAAACTAATAGTCAAACTGAGTAAGTCAATCAGGAGATTGAGCTCTACCTCTAAACGTTCATTAATCATTAGTAATCAGATTAGTCTGAATAGTTAGCTCTGACAGAATTTGTGTATAATAACTAGTAACACTCTATAACAGGACAGTCCCTGTTCTTCCTCAATCATAGAAGACATTTGTACTAGAGGACAGTTCTGAACTAGAACAGTAGTTCTGAATCTGTAACAGACTTTGTAGAACAGATACACAGGACTAGAGAGGATACACAAGCTCTTTTAGAAAAGGTAGTACAGGTTATAAAGTAGAACTATGATTGGAAGAGGTCTGTGGCCAAGGATTACTAGCCTAGTAACAAGGTTATACTAGAAGCTACTAATCTGACCTTAGATTGTCTAATAAAGAAGTTGGACAACAAGCACTTCAGACCCTTTGTCATTGAAAAGAAGGTCAGTACCTCTGCCTACAAACTCTAACTTCTGACAACATGGAAGTGTATACACTCAGTGTTTAATAAGGTTCTATTGTCTCAGTACTACAATCCCAGTTTTCCTTTGTAACAAAGACCCCTACTGCCTCCACCAGAACTCATCAGTTCTGAACCAGAATACAAAGTAGAGTACATAGTAGATACTAAGCTAGTATATAGAAAGCTCAAGTTCCTTATCTACTAGAAGGGATACCTAGTTGAAGAACACACTTGGGAACCTGCTGAGAATCTCACCTATACTACTAAGGTGATCTAAGACTTCTATTGACTTCATCTGGGTGCTCTGTGTCAACTCTACCTCACAGATTTCCAAACCCTACTATTCTGACCTATGTCTGAACTACTGACTAAGCCCAATGTTTACCAATCAGGATGATTGGTTTTAGAGGGAGGGTAATGTTACAGTTTTCTACTCTTGTACCTTCAGTTCTGAGGGTTCTACACCCTTCTGTACTAGAACTCAGGACTTCCATCCCTTAGGGGCACTATCTATAGACTATATGTATACTGACTCTTACTACTACCCTTCCTTACTTCATCATTCTATTCCTTTGACCACCCCTTCATTCTTTGTTCCTTCTATGATCTCTTACCCTTTATCCATCCCTTTATTCTTTGTACCTTTATCTTTGACCTTCCTTTCTTTCATTCTTTGTGGCTTATCATTCTTAGTAGCTCATGCTTCCTGAGTGCTCTTGTGTAGTTTAGTATATATAGGTGTACAAGATCAGACTGGTCCTGTAGTCTTAATCTTGTCTACTCTAGGTAGTCCTGTACTCTTAGACTTACTCTATATACTCTACTCTTGTCTCACTCTCTCTCTCTACCCATTCTGCAAGTTCTAACTATGTTCTGGTACTTGCATTCTGTATTTCTGTTGTGTAGGATAGTTGTAGCCTGAGTCCCCTTGCTGAGCCTTCAGGTCCCCTCTACACTGTTACTGACAAAATAGTTATATTTAGTATGTTAATTATTTTAAGTTCCTGATTAAGATTATGACAGTCTGTGACTGATCTGCTCTTTTGCTGACAGTCTCAGAGTTTAACTACTCTACTGAGTCACCCTTTCAGATATTACACAAGACCCTGTGTGTCAAACTCATAAATACTAAGAAGTGGATTTTAGAATTAAAATAGGCTAATATGTCTAGTAGTCTACTGTACTTGTAACAGCCTTAGTGAACAGTTATATAGAAATACAGACTATTGCTAGCCTCTCTATCTGCTGCAAAGTAACATTGTACTTGCTCAGAGTAGAAAACAGGATCAACACCATTGCTTAATTCTACTCATTCTCATATAAAGAACTAGTTCTCATTGTCTTCTCATGCCTTTCATGGACCAACCTTTGCAACATCCAACCTACTAATGGACTCAGGACTGGCCTGCTCTGGATAATCAGATATTTGATTCTGGGATAAACCTGTGAGAGCACTGTCCAGATGCACACTCAGAGTCTCTAAGTCGGCGGTAGTTCGAAGATTTAAACTTTATCATTATGTAATTATTTGTACCGAACAAATATCGTTGTAATTTTTTGTTTGAAGTGATAAGTCCAACAGCTGTCTAACACTGTTATGACCGGCTTGAGAACAACACAGTTTCCTGATATAAGGGACTTTGATACTCCTGAAAGATCCTTTCATGAAGAACTTCTGCAGCCTCCAAGGCGTCTTTTCACTCTGTAACTGACTCGAGGAAGCCTAGGGAAAACTTCCATGACGGGACAAAGCGCCGATTTTTCGGCGGAAGGGTCCTTCCCATAAACTCTCGGTACCGCTCTCCACCCGCCATGGTACTTCCTTTTGGTCTGCACTTGATCTTGTGATACGTTTTATCTGTGCGTCGTTTCGGCAGCGGTGGCCGGCTTGGCATGCCATTGGCATCTAATTTTAAAGTCGGAGGATCCTACTATACCCCGATAATCTTGCGAGAATGATTCTTTTGTGGCCATTAGACCCGCTTGCATTTATTGCCCCACATGCAACTGACTTGCTTCTCTAGGATAGCAAAGCTATCAAATGACCAATATTATACTTGCCAAGCAATCGGATTACTGTGACTGCCTCAAGGCACTGAGCTGGACAGTAAAGCGGGAAAGCCTCCAGAATACTTCAGAGAGCCTTTTTTAGTGACTGACTGTCGTTGTATTCTGGGTTCGCCACTAGACCATGTCCGAGGTCAAGCTCTCTGGTTCAGCTTCGCAATTGTCTCATGAAGAGATAGATGTTGAAAAGCATGACGAGATTCATATACCTGGACTTCATGTCCACCATGTACACAAGATTGGAGGGGAGATTAAGGATGCGGAGGTAAAGGAGGCGAGGAACGCTGCATTTGCTGCTGCTGTTGCTGCTGGCAGTACGAATCCGCTTAGCAAGGCAGCATTCGTCATTTACACTTGTAGGTGGATTTGTCACATTTGTAGTTGCAGATATTGACTAAGTCTGTATACAGGTGCGGCAGCGGCTTTCATGTGCTCGTGCGGAAATGGATATGATGGATCACTCATGACCGCTATTAATGGGATGACTCCTTATCAAAATCGCTTCAATCAAGGTAGAGCACTCCTCTTCCACAAACAAAACATATAACCTATTTTTCTTATCTATTAAGGACATCTCAACGTTTCGACCGGTATAATCTTCTCGATTTACACAATTGGTCAAATGGCAGGGTCACTCTTTGCTGGACAGATATGTGACCGATTCGGACGAAGAGCTGGGATGTTCGTCGGTTGTCTAACGATTATGGCTGGTTCTGCTATCATTTCTTCATCAATGGAACGTGGGCAGTTTATTGCTGGAAGGTTTATTCTTGGGATGGGTATTGCAGTTGCAACGATAGGTGCTCCGACCTATACGGTGGAAATAGCTCCGCCGCATTGGAGGTTCGTTTTTCGAGAGCGGAAAGGCAATGGGTGCTGATACTTGTTTTGCCAGAGGACGACTTACATCTCTTTACAATACAGGCTGGAACGGTGGAGCGATCCCCGCTGCTGCAATCACCCTTGGGACGTCAAACATCACTAGTGATTGGTCATGGAGAATCCCGCTTATCCTTCAAGCATTTCCCGCGACGTTGGTAGTTCTCACAGTCTGGTTCCTCCCCGAGAGCCCCAGGTGGTATTACATGCACGGCCAGGAAGAGAAGGCATTCGAATTTCTGAGAAAATACCACGGGAATGGAGATATTAATAACCCAATCGTTCTACTTGAGATTGAAGAGTTCAAGAACAACATCCAGTTGAATGGGTCTGACAAGCGTTGGTGGGATTTCAAGTAGGCCAAGATAACTCGTCGCAGGCGTAAATTCTTTATCTGACGAGGGAATATCACATAGGGCGCTTATCAAGAACCATAATGCAAGATGGCGTATGCTCATGGTCTTCCTAATGGGCTTTTTCGGACAGATGTCAGGGAATGGTTTGGGATACTTCAACGTAAGTATTGAAACGCTCCACTCCACAGTCTCATAGCAGACGTTTATGATCTATTTTCAGCTCTCGATTTACCAAGCATTGGGCTTTGACAAGCAAATGCAGTTCAACATGAATCTGATTGGGACATGCTGTAACGCTCTAGTCGCATGGGTTGCAGTATCTCTTGAGGACCGCATGCCCCGCCGCAAGGTGCTGGTATGGGGAACTTTAGGCTGCTCTTTGATGCTAGCTGCGAATGCTGGATTCTCTGCAGCATGGGCCAACTACGAGGAAGGTCATCAAAACCTTGATGTTGGACGTGCTGGAGCGGCATTCTTCTGTAAGTCCCCCCTGCTCTGAATAGCTATATTGCTGACATTGATCGAATATTAGTCTTATTTGGTGTTGTTTACGCTTTTACGGTATGTCTTGCGTTCAAACAAGACTTCTTTTTTTGGCCACCTAACTGACAGCAGATTTACATTGTTTTAGTATACACCTCTCCAATCCCTCTATCCAGCTGAATGTCTCGAAAACACGACACGCGCAAAAGGCGTCTCCGTGAAGATCTTCATCATCTCCTGCACATCCTTCATCAACCTCTTCTGCACGCCGATCGCGTACGGCCGTATCGGCTGGAAATACATTCTAGTATTCGTATTCTGGGACGCATTTGAGACGGTGATTTGGTATTTCTTCTGCGTAGAGACTGTTGGGTTCACCCTGGAAGAGTTGGATGAGATATTCTCGGCGCCGAACCCGATCAAGGCATCTACGCAGAAAAAGAAGGTAAGTCTGCTCCTTACGGCGGGGATTAGATTGATCTGTTGCTGACGTCACTCTTGAATAGATTGTCGTCAAGAAAACAGGTGATGTGTTTGTTGTTGATTAACGCTTGTAGGTTTGCAGTTCTACAGAGTGCTAGAACAGAGGGTCGTGTGAGGCCGCTGTTCGCTCAATAGCCGCACTCTTGGGTATTAATGGCACAATTCCGTGTACTCTCTTATATAGTTTGGTTGTCGCGCACTGAAAAAGAAAGTTCATTCGATTCTTATTCCATTTAATCTGGGTGCAAGCAATCCTAAGAGCACAGCCAATACAGACCTAGATAAACGAGGAAACAAAAGGCCGTCCTCTCAACACACACCAATAACCCACATTTGAACTTCTGCGGACCAATCTTACGTGGGCTCAGCTTGATTTGAAGAATATACTCACTCAAAGCCTTGTCTGATTCGCGACTTTCTCCGACATCCAGAACTTGCAGCGCTCGATCTGCTCTGGAGGCGTAATCTCCATCATCGATGCACTCGCCATCAAGCTTGAGTTTGGAGGTTGGCTGAGAACCATCCGACTGCCAGACGAGAACGGCGGCCACTCTGGCGAAATAGCCTCCCGTGAAGTTGAAGGATTGCCAGAGGATATGAAGGACGTCCAGTATGCAATGGACTCCTTTGACAGAACTGCTTCGGTCTAATGGAACGTTCATTTTGCTAAAAGTACTCAGGGGTAATTATCCTTACGGCATTGAACGGAGTAAACGTGAATCCTGCATTTGGAGCCGAGCTAGTATAATGAATGATGTGTAAGGAATTTAGTCGTAGAGTAATTAATGAACGTACGTTGTACCTAGGAATATAAATCTCTTAGCTAGGGAACGACCTATTACCTGGGATAATTGACCTACCATCGAACAAATAGAAAAGGTCAGAAGTATGCATCACACCTTCCCATGGTGTCTGCGCGAGTAACACAGGGTTCGGTGAATTGAACCTGGATAATGGTAGCAGAAACGGTTAGAGACAGACGCTTAGAGAAAAGCATCTGATGTGAACCGTATGTTACCTATATGTGAAGATGTTCTTGACCCCTTTCTTCTGGAGATTCTGAGCGAGGAACATGTCCCTAGATGACGATGTAGCTGGGTGATGTACTCCAGGAGTTTAATATTGTAATAGAAACAGACGTACATGCAGCCATAAGCGATATCTTGATACATAATCGCCGCGCGATCATATTGCGTGGCAAACGGACTGCCAGGTACTCCTGGTGCTGGGTATATGGCAAGCGCTTCTTGTATTGTTTCATTCGTCTTTAATTTGATTGTAAGTGTCCAGTTGATAAAGCGGGAAAGACAGCTCACAATGTAAGGACGAATGCGCGAAAATACAAAACGTATCACATCCGCATCCGTTTTATAGTCTTCAGGAGTTCCACCCACTGAAAAGCGTCCATCATTTGTGCAATGACCACCTATGAAATCGACCACGCTGAAGTTACCCGACCTGATGAGCGCAACCCGCAATTCCGGGCGAATGCCACCGGGCCCGTCAATAACCGGCGCAAGAGTTTCGAATGGAACCGCATTGATAGCTGCTATCAGTGCACCTGCGGCCATAGGAAATTAAGAATCCTAATAGGTGAGGATAAACAAGCTACTGACCAAGCGAAGCATTTCGAAGACAAGACATGACTTGCGGATCAGAAACGGGGCATCCGATGACTTCCGCAATAGTTTCTGGGGTCGCTGCGTAAGGACGAAGGACAGTGATCCTCGGAGTGAGGCACGGCTTACTAAACATCGACTCGGAGTCATTCGCCGTGGGAGTAGAAACAATCCCAATCGACTGCGCAATTGCACGCTTAAAGGGAGCTGGCTTGGAACCTATGACAAGGTTGTCGATACACGTTGATCAGACAGAACAGAAACGCTCAAAGCTAACCTCCATAAGCAGTCATTTGCATTACGACGCTTGCACTGCCAGCGCTCTGACCGTCGATCGTCACCTCGTCTGGATCGCCTCCGAAGCTCGCAATATGACGTTGAATCCACTCAAGAGCAACTCGCTGGTCGAGAAGTCCGACATTTAGATCACCATCCGCCTGCACGGCGCTTCCTGCGAGAAAACCGAATGCATTGAGACGATAGGCCATGGATACCCCGATAACCTTCAAATTGGACTGATTGACCCAATCGTATAACGGAAACCCTTGCGGTGTCTGGACCACGTCACAAAACAATACCTCTCTGCCTAATTGAAATATGACTCACACCGTAGACGAATCCACCCCCCTGTGATAGTTGTCAGTGCGGACGAATCGCACCATTTGGACAACATACATGAATATAGACAATGACCGGGAGTTTGTCTCCTTCCTTCGCATCGGTCGGTTTCCAGATATTAAGAGTCAGGCAATCTGTTGTAAAATCGTCTTTAGTTTATATCTCTTGGTGAAGTTGTTTCAAAAAGTCAGCACCTTCTTCCCCAATTCCAACCTGTGCAGGCTGCTGAATGCACGGTGGACCCCAGTTACGCGTGTCCGTGATTGAAACAATCCCACCATCCACGACCCGCTCATCCAGCGGAACAGGGGCTCTGAAACGTAGATCTCCAAGCGGTGGTAGTGCATAAGGTATTCCACCAAAGAAAGTCACTGGCCCGTTAGCCTGTCCCGTTGGTGACGTGGAATTGCCTGCGAAAGCAGCATAACCAAGATTGACCACAGGACCAAGAGGCGAACTCAGCTGAGGCAGAGCGAAAGCGGTAGCGACAAATGCCAGGGCAAACGAAAACAGTAAGCGAGGTGTGGCGAGAGCCATTCTGGCGGCGTCTGTCTCAAGTACATTGTAGAGGCAGCGTCGTATTCTTATAGTTCGAGTGGCTGACTAGAATGCAGCGCCGTTTGATCGCTTTCTAGCGCATCTATCCTTCCTCCGGTCGGTAATTGATTCTTTCTGACCATCTTCAAGGCCCGCGGCCCGAAAACAACACATTGTCGTTGAGCAGTGGTCAATGTTCAGTCTCAAGTGTACTGTGTAGTCCTCGCAGAACGAGATCGACATTATTGCACGTGGTAGCCGCAGATCATTGAATATCTTTCAGTTCAGTTCATTTTTGCTGCTGCTACTAATTTGACGTCTCTCTCGTGTATAAGTACTTTTCGAGGGTTAGGCGGTCCTTTTCTTTTTTTTCTTCTAGCTCATCATACTGACATCCACTAGTCAGAGAGTCCTGCATGTCCAAACAGAATATCATCAGACTCTCAGAAATTTGTTCCTCATTCATTTCAACATGTACCAGCTGACGAAAATAGATTGCAGAAGCTGTGTTTGTATCAACGGGAGGGATGCACGTGTGAGGGTCTGTTTTTCTTTCGGTTATACGAGTAATTGAATGACCCTGACTTGTCAATCTTTGAGATGTTTCAAGTATGATATATCTACTAGGTATAGCTATTATATTAGATACTATTAGATTGCGCTCTGGATTAGGAAATCCCCAATTGCCTTATGTAGAATTACTACACTTGGAATGTCTTGGACTATCAGACTTCACTATGTAGTATATAAGGTAGACACTTGCTTGATGTCTCAATAAGAGAGAGTACTTGGGGCACTCCTACTATGCTTGTTAAAAGGTTATGAGCCTTAGTGCCTATTGAATGCCCCTACACACTTGCTCTTACAGAATGCCTTTGCCTCCTGCTAGACCACCAAGCCTAAGACCTCCCTCTCCCCCCAAACCCATTACAATGTTGTCTACAATGCATACCTTTGTTAATACTATGATGAAGGACTCTGACATTACAAAGTTCTTTGAGAGAACAGAAAAGTTGGCTAGTGTAAAGGGATATAAGATATGGCACTTGTGCATACACAGTGTACTCACTGCTATGATGCTCTTAGACTATCTAGAGCACAATCCCCCTTCCTCTAATGATGCTGGCATACACACAGGTAATGTTTTGTATCACTGTATAACAAAAACAATAACTGATACAATTTATGTGAACTTTACAACACATACAAGTGTTAGAAGTCTCATAAAGGTACTTTCTGAACAATACAATGTTCAAACAATGATGACACATGCTGTAGACATATTTATGTTGTTTACAGTAAAAGGGTATGTATCACAGTTTGATAAGATGTTAGACAACATTGAACAAATCTATAGGTAGTTGTCTACACATAATAAAGCCCTTAATAACAATATGTACATCTCAGCAATTAACCTTACTACTCCTTGTGAGTATAGATGGGTAGCAATAATGCTAGACAGGCAGATTACCTATTATAATCAACTACCAATAGTTACAGCAGCTCAGAAAGACATTCTGACACTAGCTAAGTTGATACACAAATTACAAAACACATATACTGAGTATCATTCTTAGTACTCTCAAACAAAACAAGATACTGAACAAGACAGTCTACAAACAAAAGGCAAAAGTGTAGCTAAAGGCAAAACAAAGCCTTATAATAAAGTTAAATGCTACAACTGTAATAAGTACAGACATATGTTAAAAGACTGCCAAAATCCTCTAACAAGCAAAACAACAGAAGCTTGAAAGAAAAGGCATAAGCAAACAGCTACTGCTTCTACTACTACTACTACACTGTCTCAACCTGCACTTAATATAGCAGTATTCATTAGAGACAATAACAAAACAGTATTCATTGAAGATGTTAATGAAATGCTAATACTAGAGTCTACAATCACAGAAGTCTCAGCATCAAGTTCTAGCAGCTTACCTGTTCAATCTGCTCTATCTGCTGAATCCACTCTATCTACTGAATCTAATGTATTTTCAGCATTTGAAGTACAAGAGGATAGTGTCATACAAGTAGACAACTTTATGAACTCATTTGACAATATGAAAGAAGTCATTAAGGAGTTCAATTATAATCCAAACATATGTATCAACACAATACATTGTAATGATACTGAACTAATACATTGTATTAATATATTAGACTCTGGTACAAACATACACACTACTCCATACTTGTTCTGTCTTACAAATATTCAGAACTTGACCCTAATAAATGTTACAATTGTAAATAAATTGTCATTCACACTTAGCAAAAGTAGAGTGATGACATTTAACATAAAGTTACAAGACAAAGTTGATGAGCATACTAAGGTGAATACAATTTCACTACAAAACATATACTATCATCCTAATCTGAACTTTATACTTGTTAGTAAAGTGCTATTATACAAAGCAGGATATGTTTTAACAAAAACAAACAATGAATGTATTATTTATTCTCCTGCTCATACAAAGATTAGTGAAATACATGTACAAAATAACTTGTATATGATAGTTTCTCATCATAATAAACGATCTATTAATGCAATCACTATTGTTGATTTACATTAACAAATGGGTCATGTTAATTTCAATTACTTGCACAAACTCATACAAGAGTATCCTGAGATTATAAGTCAAAGGATAACAGATGATAAAAATGCATAGTGTACAGATTGTATCAAAGTAAACATACAATACAATGAAATACCAAAAATATGAACAACACCTCTTACACAATCTTATAGAGATTATCTCCATATTGATATTTGGGGACCTGCCCTAGTACAAGCTTACAGCAAGTACAAATATCTTTTTACTATTGTAGATAACACTACACAATGGGTAACTATGCTACCTATGTAGTATAAAAGTGATGCTTTCACAGAATATGTAAAGCATACAACAAAACTCTTTACACAGTATGGTATAAGAGTTAAAACTCTCTAAAGTGATAACAATACAGTGTTCCTAAGTAAAGACTTCACTACATACATTGAAAGTCAAGGAACAATATGTAGATTAACAGTACACAATACACTACAGTAGAATGGAGTTGTAGAACATATACATAAGACTATCTTTAA